GGTATAGTAGTGTGTGCCTGTAGTTCTGGCTACTCGGAAGGCTGAGGTGGAAGGATCACCAGAGCCCAGCAGGTCGAGGCTGCAGTGGCCGGGAGCGGCCACTGCACTCCAGTCTGGGCGACAGAGTGAGACTCCAACTCAAAAAAAATAATAATAATAAATAAATATATATATATAAATATATATATATATTCACATATGTTTGCATCTATTGTTTTATGATTATCATTTGTTATTATATAAATATTGTTGTCCCCCACCCCATTCTTATGTTGAAAGCCTATTATCAATGTGATGGTATCCGGAGGTAGGGGTGTCTTCAGGAGGTGATTTGATCATGCGGGCATAACCCTCATTAATAGGATTAATTACCTTGTAAAGCAGGTCTCATAGAGTTGTTTTGTCCTCATGTTATACAAGGACACAACTAGAAAGTGCCATCTATGAACCTTAGAACAGGCCCTCACCGGACACCAAAATTGTCAATATCTGATATTCAACATCTCAGCTCAACTGTGAGAAATAATTTTTATTGATAATAAGCCACCCTGTTTATGATACTTTAATATAGTAGCTGGAATTATCTAAGACCATCTGTAAATAAGGATTGCAAATATAGACCATTCTCCTGAACATTCATTCACATAACAGTATATTTCACTGCTCATAGCTATTTGGAATTTCTGCAAGTACTACAAAATTAACAAGTTCAAATCACAACTTTCTACAAAAAGTCAAATAAGATAATAAAAACTATAAATATTACTATGAATACTACAAATAAACACTATGTTTCTTGGATAATAAATTAATAATAAATAGATTATCAATATAAAAATTAAAAGTAACTAATAATTAAATAATAAACTCCATTCTCTTAAAATCTCCTATTGCAGCTCTTTTTTACAGATAAAAAAGTAGAGACATAGCGAAATTGAATAAATTGCTCAAAAACATAAACTTTCTAAACATTTGAATCTAGGAAGTTTGATGGGACCTGCTACTAAAATTTTATACTGTGTCTTTAAAAAAAAGTTTGTAAACTTGAAAACAAAAATATATTCATAATGACAATATAAAATGAGCATTTTAATGGCATCATTGTATATATGTTATAGGTGACATTATTGTCCCATTTTAAAAGATGAAACAGCTGAGCAGAAAAGAGATTGAATAATTTGACCACAATTAGAATCTAGGTTTATCTGTTTCAAATTCCACCTTTTTACATCACTCAAATTTTATTGTAATAATTGTTAATCATTCAAATACTCATTTACTCATTAAATTTGAGCATATTGAGAAACATTTGGTGTCTCTTAGGTGATATGCTCATAAAAATACATTAAGATCTTCTCCCTTAATTTGGCTTATATTCTAGTTAGGGAATGCGATACATTATTTGATAAATATAAAAATGGCAAGGGTTAAGGTGGTAATGAGTTCCATACAGGAAAAAAATGCTATTTTATAATAAAACAGTAATGAGTTCTACAAAGGAAAATACTGGAGCGTAATTTCAAAAGGACACAGTGGACTACTTAGGCAGGTGGTTCAGGAAAACCTCCGTGAGAATTTAACATTTGGTTAAGATACGACTACTGTAAACTAGAAAGCTGAATGGATAACCAATATTAACTAATTCATTATTTTAAAATTACCTTTCAATAAGGTTGTTCGTTATAAAATAATTCAATTTTAAATGTAATAAAGTTAATGTATTTTTCTAGAATGCACTCAACATTTAATACATTTCTTTTGTGACACTACAGCCTGAGTCAAAAGATTATACTAAAATGGTCTTATTTTTATATCTTGAATGTTATTAAAACTATACTTGATTTTAAAATCACTCTTAACTAAGAATGATTAGCCTCACTTTTTTGTTCAAGTGCAAACACTTCACTATTAAATATTTGGGTGATCTCTCTCAATTTTTAGATACTCATATCTAGTTCAACCAAGCCAGAGACATGATTTTTCAGAAAACAGTCCTGACTTTGATACAAATGCAGCACCAATAAAGTAAACTTTGATTGCCATTGTACTGAGTACATAAATATAAATGAAGTTTTAATTTTCCTCATTAGAAATAGATTAAAATAAACTTTATATAGTTTGAAAAAAATAAAAAATAAACAGGATTCATTCCATCTCAGTTTATTTTAATATACGGTTAGTACAACTGATGGAACAGAATATCTGAGACTGAGGGATGTACAATAAACAGAAATGTATTTGCTTACAGTTCTGGAGCCTGGAAAGTCCAAGAATATGGCATTGGCATTTGGTGAGGACCTTCTTGCTGTGTCATAACATGACATAAGTCATTACATGGATGAGAGAGATAATGTACATGAAAGAGAGCAATAGACTATACTGGAAGCCTCAATCCTTTAATAATCAGCATTAATCCATTCCTGAGGGTAGAACCTTCATGACCTAAATGCCTCTCACTAGGCTCCAACTCTAAACACTGCTGCAATGAGGATTAAATTTCCAACACATGTACTTCAGAAGATATATTCAAGTCATAGTACACTCCATTTCCCCCTTCTCCAAACCAAGTTATTCTTGACATGCCTTATGGTATCATTCAGTGTTTAAGACATAAAGTGATTAGTTAGATCTATGAAAATAGAGAGGATGGAGAAAAGAAAGAAAAAACTTTTCCAAGTATTTCTGCATTCTAGTCTCTGAAGTTCTGAAAGTAATTCTTTTTTTTTTTTTTTTGGTACTATAATGCTATAGCTATTACAAAGACTAATTGGTTATCAAACTTGAACCAGTTTCAGATGTCACTGGTATTATCTTTGCTATTTATCTCACAAGGTCTTTGTAAATTAAAAAAAAATGAGGCAATATATGTCAAAGTTTTGATTTTCTTTCAATCACAATATGAATGGAATGAATTATTACTCTTATTTACACAGACATAATTTTAATTTCATGATATATTAATGTTTGTATTTCCATAGAATATGGTTTCTAGGGGTTAGAAAGAAATTTCAAGACCTGAATCAAGAAGACCTTGGAATATGTGGATGAAATTTCTATAACATTGACAACATATACCTAAATTCATTATTTAAAAAATGCTCATTAATATACCAAGTGTCTACTTTTCTTATTTTCCTTTTTTAATATTGTGGTCGGGGGATAATTTTAACAAAAAGAAACAATCATTTTTTCTAATCATTGCTTCAGAATAAGTCTTTCTATATCAAAGGAACATTTTATACATCCCCTTTGGTCATTTGTTCAATGGTCACATATATTCTAGTAGGGAGTCAATATGATTTAATGAGGTGCAGAAAATAATTGAATCCACTCTGTATATTTTATATCTATGTACATTATACATATTATATTATATCTATTATATATAATATATGCATACATTTTTTAAAAATTTATGAGGTATAATCAACACTTATGGACCTGATTTATAATATAAACATAGAGTTTAAAAATTGTCCATTTATTAGCAGAAACCTTTAGAGTAACATCATCCATGCCTGAATCTTAGCCCCAACAGCTAGACACTAAAAATTCTGGTGATACTGGAACAAATAAGATATAATTTACCTGATACTACAGATTTGACATTCCTCTGGAGAAAACACATAAATTGTCAGTAAGAATAGAGTTATCAATGGAAGGACAGCAATAATAAGAGGAAACTGTATAGGGCAACTATGTCATTTACAAGGGGGAACCGCTTCCCCCCAAAAAAACCCTGAAATTATCTTTTTGGAAGGCAGGCCCTTTATAGTACACTCAGAATTTGCTCCTCCAAAGTTTTTATCTGGAAGTCTTGAGAAGGTTGTATCATGATTTGTGGAAGAAATGTCCCAAGTTGTGGCAAACCAGGTGACTAGTTCTTCCATCATGACGATGTACCTGCCCACACTGTGCTAGGTGTTCAGCGTATTTGACCAAAAGCAACGTGATCCCCTTATCTCACTTTTCCTATCTGCCTGATCTTACCTTTGTGCTTCCCCAGATGAAAAAACATGCTCAAAGGGAAACATTTTGACAAGAGGTGTAACAAAAAATAGCAAAAGCACTAAGGCATCAAAATTGACAAGAAAGGCATCAAAATTAACAAGTTTAAGCAGTGGAAAGAAATCCTGAGACGTGTATTGCATCAGAGAGTAGTTTGAAGGTGGCTGAAGTTTAAATATGACAGAATAAGCACACATTTTTATAAATAAATTCTGGGGTTTTGAGGGTTCCCTCTTGTATTGTACAAACTAGTTCATTGTGAGTAACAGTGGTCTAATAATTTCGCTAAGGAAACAGACTTAAATTGAGACTATATTGGGAAACACAAGAGTTATGTTCATCTTCGTGACATGGGGAGCACATGCAACCACCTCAGTATGAAAACAAGAGAAGAGTTAGTAAAAGTTCCAGTAGGAAGTGACACCATATTGCACTAAAAAGATTTATTTATGTACAATAAAAAGAATAGTGAGTAAGAGAAGAGGACAAATGTTTAGGATTTTGGCTGCAAACGTTCCATTGATAAGCAGACACAATGGCTTAAACTTGAGATTGAGTATTACCAAACCATATAACCACAAGTCATGCAATCAGACTGAAGTACCACAACCACAATGTACCAGACACAAAGGCCACACAGAGCACAGGCTGTCAACTTGAAAATACACATTTATATTTTCTGATGTCCATGCTAAAGGATCTATCTACTATGCTATGAGAATCTTATTTCCCAATTCAATGCCTCAAATAACTGTTAACAATAAAATACTGTGTTTTATGTTAAAAGTCTAAGGATTGTATGAAATAGTCACTTGAGCTTTATCTTATAAAAAGATTACGCTAATATTTGTTCAAAGTATATAGCTTAAGTATTAGGAAGAAAATGTCTTTCAGTTTATAAGAAATCTTCAGTTACTCATACCGTTAAAAAACTGTCATGTCATTATCCGTGTGTCTATAGACTTTGTACAGTTTTAAAAAATAATAAATACCTTAGATATTGATGAACTGTCTCCAGAGTTCTGCCAAGATTTCTAATATTCTGAGGCTTGAAGTGGTCGTTGACTACATCAATACCTTGGGGCATTCAGTTAAAACGCTGAGGTAATTAACCAGAACAAGTTGTCGATGAAATCAGTTCTGATTAACTGGAGGGATCCTAGAAAGATAAAGTCTGTATTTAGATAAAAATGTCATATAAAGTAGACAAATTTGATTAAAATCAGCCCTTTACCTTGTCTTCATAAATTTTTGACAACCTTTTGGCAACACTTATCTAATTCACCTTACACATGACCAGTATCATCCAATTACCTGACCATGTCTCATATGAAACTGGACAACTCAAACAATAAGGAAAAGTTAGGCTTAAGTCATTTTTATCTTTCTGCATCCCCAGAGGTCAAATGTATAATGTTTAATAAATCTGACATGCTTTATAGTATTAGTGTGATATAAGGGGTGGCAAGAGCTCATGGCAATTATTTCTATTGTAATAGAGGTTTTCTGTAAGCAATATCTATAAATTACAGAATTTTTGGTTTTAAAATCTAGAATGATAGAAAAAGAAAATGGACTTTTTGACCTTTCAAATCCAAGTGTTCTCCTTTAGAGCACCTTTAAGTCTTGATTGATTTATTTTAATAATTATTGACTGATTATCTTCACTTGGTGGCAAAGCAGATGTATTTTAACAACTAGGTATCACAGAAGTTTTTCAATTTGCATTCCTCCCTCATTAATAAATGAAGAAACTGAGGATCTATGGATCAAGTTCATATAATGGATATATTCCTGCATTCACTAACTTCCTGAATAACTACCCAAGTAAGAGAGTTTATTCAACAGGAAATCTGAAAAGAGAAAAGCTATGAGCTTTAAGTGGCAGTGTTTGGAGAAGGAATGCTATATTTAGTACAAATGCTTTCATGTTACAAATACATCTAATAAAAGAATGACTGAAATAATACCTGCATCAAGAATTTTAATTAGAAGCTGTCCCCATGGTACATCTCAAAACCCAACAACAGTTGACTCTTCAGACTCTTCAGACAGGAGATCCATTGTCTCACATTGGTTTTGGGAGACTGCTTATGCTGCACTTTTGAATAATAGGAGTTAAATTCCATCAAGACACCTGGCAATCCAGATGAACTCATTGTATTTTTCAACAGTCAACTGATTGTTAGTTAATTAACTATTTGGATCACCATGTTTTTGCTATGGAAAAAAGTCATAACCCCTCTGGTGTCTTTTATAGGTTCAGAGAATTGAGAATTTGTCTAATGTCATATGGCCAGTATATAGAGAAAAGACACAAATCTGCAAACTGTAGCTGCTACTCTCTTACTCACACACCCTCCTCCTCCTTATTAGGTGCAGAGTGCTTCCTGTGTCCTGGTCAGGGTACAGTGGTGGTCAACAGGATCCCAAGCAGAATGGAGAACAAACCTGTGCTCAAGTTTCCAAGAGCATGCATTTTGTCAGCATAGTCCAGGATGGAGCACAGAACAGAAGTGAAGCCCTCTGTCTCCCCTCATTGAGTGCTCTACATTGAATGACAGAAAGGACCCTAGAAAAGAGGTACGCTAACTAGCTTCAGAGAAACAACACCAGAAAGAAAAGATAGAGAGGGAAGAGTTGAGTTGCACAAATAAGGAAAAACAAAACAAAACAGGACATTCTCAGCATCTCAAAGAGAGGGCACCTGAAGAAAGCAGCAGCTAACAGTGCACAAACAATGGAATTCCCACAGAACAACCTATTCTAGATGACAGTCACAGAACTAGGAGAGTGTATGGCTAAAATGAATAAAAAGAATAACAAGAATCTAGAAGTGAAAGTCACCAAATTCCTATAGGAAATAAAAGCAGAGTAAGCCAATTTCAAAAAGAATAATTCTGAAATACTGGAAAGGAAAAACTATATTCTGAAAGTTAAAAACACATTAACAAGCATAGGAAGAAGCAGAGGAAAGAACCTCAGAGCTTGTAGACCAACATATGGAACTGATCCTATCGGTCAAAAACATAGAAAAAAGAATAAAAAATAATGAGCCTTGGTGAGATAAGCGACTACTTTAAGAAGTCAAATCTATGCTTTATTAGTATCCCTGAAGCAGAAAGAGAAACCAAGATCATCGTGGAACAAGCATTCCTTGAAGTCATCTAATAAAATTCTCCACATCTTGCTAAGTAGGTAACCATTTAAGTGCAAGAGATTCAGAGAACTCCCACAAGGTATCACATGAGAAGACCACCCTAAGACACATAGTAACTCACTTCCTCAAAGTAAGCTTGAAAGAACAATTTTTAAAGCAGCAAGAGAGAAAGGTCAGACCACTTACTGGGTAAGACCCATCATAATTGTTCCAGACTTATCTGCAGAAACACTACAAATCTAGAAGGGACGGGAGTCCAAACTTTAATGTTTTGAAAGATAAGCAATTCCTGGCAAGAATTTCTGCCCTACCATACTAAGCTTCATCTGCCAGGAAGAACTACAATTTTTCACAGCTATCAATCCCTAAGAGAATATGCCACTTCCAGACCAGCCCTTCAGGAGATGCTTAAGAAGATGTTGCACACACACACACACATAAACACACAAAGAATAGTCATAACCAGCACAAAAGTGCAGGCAAGAACAGAGTTAACAGAACAGAGCATACAGAATACTCACAAAAATGAACATATACACATATATAAATACAAAAGTGAAAAAGAAGCAAATCAAATCCCTAAGAGGCCTCTGACAAGAATAAACTCTCACCTTTCAATAATTGGTTAGAATGTGAATGGATCCAATGCACTGCTAAAGAGGCATAGAGTGGCAAACAAATAAAGCAGCATGATCCAGCAGTCTGCTGCCTCTAGAAAACTCTTCTCATTACACACTACACCCACAGGCTCAATTTTAAAGGCTAGAAAATGAACTTTCAGGCAAATGGAAAACAGAAGAGGCAGAATTGCTATTCTAATATCAGACAAGACTTCAAACCACCAAAGGTTAAAAAGGATACAGAAGGACACTACAAAAGAATAAAAGGTGCAATTCACCAATATATATATATATATATATATTCATCTTAAATACATATGCACCCAACACAGAAGCACCAGATTTTTAAAAGCAATTGCTAAGTAAACTAAGAGAGGACATTGTCACACACACACAAACATAGTTGGAAAACTAAGTACCCCACTAACGGTCCTAGACAGATAATAGAGACAAAAAACCAAGGAGATAGTGATCTTTAGCATGACACTTGATCAAATGGATTGAATAGACATCTACAGAACACTTCACCCAACAACTACAGAGTATACATTCTTCTCATCAGCACATGTAAAGTACTCCAAAATAAATCACGCTCTTGGGCATAAACAAAGCATGAACAAATTTTAAAAGATTGAAATAATATCATGCATCTTATCAGCTCACAGGGGAATAAAAGTAATTATTACCACCAGCAAGATACCTCCAAGACACACAAAGACATGGACACAAAACAATATTCTGCGGAACAACTTCTGGGTTAACACAGAAATCAACACAGAAATAAACAGATTCCTGGAACCAAACAAAACAAAGACACATCTTATCAGAATCTCTGGGATGCCATGATAGCAGTGTTAAGAGAAAAATTCATAGCATTGCACAAACACATCAAGAAAATAGAAAGATGACAAGTAAAGAATCAAATGTCATACTTAAGGAGAAGGAAAGGAAAGATAATCTAAGCCCTATTTTCAGTAGAAAACCAGTTAACTAAATTAAAGTCACAGATGAAGAATATAGAATGCAAAAATATCAAAATCATAGAAAGAATAAACAAGAACAAGGCTGGTTCTTTGAAATGATAAATAAGAATGACAAACCACTGGCCAGATTATGTTAAAAAAATAAAAATAACAAAAAAGAGAGAGAGATAGAAAGTTCAAATAAACACAATTAGTAATGAAAAAGGCAAAGTCACAGCTGACCCCCCCAAAATTCAAAAGATTATCAGAGATTACTATAAATATCTGTACGCAAATAAACTAGAAACTCTAAAGGAAATGGAGGACTTTCTGACACATCTGACATCACACAACCTCCCAAGATTAAAACAAGAAGAAACTGAAACTCTAAACAGACCAATAACAGTCCAGAAAATTGACTCAGTCATAAGAAATCTTCCCACCAAAAAAGCCCTGGACTAGAGGCTTCCCAGCTGAATACTACAAGACATACAAGGAGGATCTGATACTAATCATATTGAAAGTATTCTAGGCAATTGACAATGATGAAATTCTCTCCCAACTGATTTTATGAAGCGAACATTATATTGATACCTAAAACTGGCAAAGAATCAACAAGGAAAGAGAATTACAAGCCAATCTCCTTGAAGAAGAAGGAAACATTTTCAACAGGATTCTAGTAAATCAGATTCAACAACATGTCTCCAGGATCATCCATGACCAGGCGGGCTTCATTCCTGTGATGCAGGGCTGGTTCAGCATTTTAAAGACCGGTACTGTAATTTGGCACATTAATAGAGGTAAAACCAAGAACCATGTGATTAACTCGTTAGATGCAGAAAAGGAATTAGACAAAATCCACATCCCTTCTTGATAAAAACCTTCAAACACCTAGACATAGAAGGAACATTCCTCAAAACACAAAAAATCATCTATGAAAAACCACCAGCTAACATCTTTCTCAGTGGGCAGAAGCTAAAAGCATTTCCCCTAAGAGATGGAATAAGACAAGGATGCCCACTCTTACCCTTCCTATTCAACATAGTGCTGGAAGTCCTAACCAGAGCAATCAGGCAAGAGAAAATTAGGGTATGCAGATAGGGAAAGAGGAAATTAAGCTGGCCCTCTTTGTGGATGATAAGATTCTATAACAAGAAAACCCTAAGGCGCCTGTCAAAAGTCTCCTCACACTAATAAACAACATCACTGAAGTCTCCAGTTATAAAATCAACGTGCAAAAGACAGTTGTATTCTTGTACACCATCAACAAGCACGCAGATAACTAAATAAAAAACAGTTCCATTTACAAAAGTCACACACACACACAGACACACACAACACACACACACACACACACACACACACACACACACAAAATGAAATGATTTGGCATTCACCTAACCAGAGAAGTGAAATA